CAGCAGGAAGTAGGACTGTGCAGTGTTAATTAAATGTGTAACTGAAACACTGAAATAACAGGTGTAGGCTACAAAAATTATTTATCACAATCTTATTAATCCAAATATCAAAGGTCCCATTTTAAAACTATTAAACTGATGCATTTAAATTATTGATGATGACAGTTTAACTGGGAGACACGATCAACTAAAATGAAGATATATTACTCTGCTGAAGCTGTTGAAGCTACCAGTCCACTCAGATTAATGGAGTGGAGTCTCTTCTCTCACAAATTATATTTGGCTGAGTACCGACACATAAATGCAACAAGATTCACATTGTTCATAGAATTAATATTCGTTAAAAACATCTGGTACAACCTGCTGCCCAAGTATGTCAAACTAAGCAGCAACGGTTAGAATAAAAACAGTTCTCAGCATTGCTGCAACACAAGCAGGCTAAGGTGGATAAATGCAGTAGAGTACCAATAACCATTAATCAACAATCACCATTAATGCGGGTTGGGTTATTGTTGCCGGTAACAATCCATACAAAAATACTCTATTTACCCCATTACTGATCACTGGGATTGTTTCATGACACCTACTCTACATTATAAATGCCAGAATAAAACAAAAGGTCTGCAGCAGAGCATGATCAATAAATCTGCAGTATAGCTTACTGTAGTACTATTTCACTAGATTTCAATATGTTGTACATCTTCTTTTCAGTGGAAACTTTGCAATTAATAGGTTAGTGATAGAAAATCAGCTCAATTCAAAATAATTCTGCTGGTGGTCAGAGGCTAGTCAACTTTACCAGCCACATGGGGAGTAAATCTACTACCAACATAAATTCTACTCTCACACACAAAATAAATAAATAAATACATAAATAATGTATATATCAATACATCTAGATCTAGACAGATATACAGCTGGTTAGTAGCACAGAAATAGCACGTATTGTTGCCTTTTATTATCTTGCTCCTAGTTTACAGTTCTTACCCGGTAGAGGAATGTGCATGCCTGGCAAGGGCACCCTGAAGGGTGGTACCATGACAGGGGGGAACGCAGGTATGGCTGTGGTGGGCTGGGCAACGCTGTGAGGCAGGGCTGCAGGCAGCAGTGGCACCGTCTGCACCGCTGTAACAGGTGACGGTACCGTGGAAACAGTTACCACGGTGACTGGAGACACAGCAATAGTTGAGGTCACTGTGACAACAGGGGATAGGTCTGCTACAGCAGTGGCTTTTGGGAACAGAAAGAAAAAAAAGAGGACTTTTATTTCTGACCTTGATTGTATACATGTGTGTATGACTGATTTAAGACTGTGTACTTACCTGCAATGGTCACAGAAGGAGAAGGGGAGGTGGCGGAGTCTGGACTGGAGGTCAGTGTGCGGGAGGAGGTTGTGGAAGTTGCCTGAGTAGGGGAGGCTGCTACTGCTGTGCTGGCTGTTGTATTGACACTGTTTGAGCTGGCAGCTACAGTCACCCCGACACTTGTACCCGTCCCTGCAGCCCCAGCCCCGGCTACAAGAAGAGGGTTCAGTTCAGACTGCTGGATGATCTTCACTCCATCTGGTTTACTCCATGATGACTCTCTAGTCCTGGCATTGTAGTAATACGCCTGTGGAAAGGATAAGAAACAATACAACATTTGTAGATTGGGGACAACCAGTAGGCAGAATATAAAGCTAGACAAATAGATATTTGTAATCTCCCACTGCAGTCATCAGCTCTCCAATGAAAGAATGTAAAATCATTAATTAATGTTCCATGCTTGACCAGAATGGGTAAATCAGTATGGGGGCCCTATGTGCTTACATATGTCTTCCAGCTTACCTTTCCCTCTTGTGTCTTGTTCTCTACCCATATCTCTTCTGCAGGGTTGAGTGCAGGGGTTCCAGATGTAGGAACTGGAGGCATCCCAGGAGGAAACAGCATCCCTGGAGGAGGTGGCAGGTTACCAATTGGAGGGGGGAGGAACGGAGGCCTCTGCAGCAAAAACGACAAAGCATTTATTTTTCAAATGGTAAAGAGTAGGGACTCTAAATTACCCAATAAGAACATTGCATCCTTCTACAAAATGTGACATCAGTGGGTCAAAGAAAAGTGGCTAAGCATTTGACTATGTAGCCAGCAGCTGTGCTCACTGAACCTTGTGTATTCAGATTAGGGGGTCTGTGCATCAATGTTTTATTATTCAAGGGAGAATCACACTGCATCTAAAAATGATAACAAAAGACAGTATAAGCCAAAGAGATTACAAAACAGGGGACCCATATCCCTCCTTAATTCTGTTTGTGTCTCGTTCTGAGACTTAAAACTGATGTTATTCATGCAAGGACTAAAGCTTTCTTTGCGATCTTTACAGAGTCTGCCTGCCAGTTCAAACATATCTCTACTGAAGGATTTAACCATTTTTTGGACTTAATTCCCTCTCGTACACACACACAAAAAAGGTATTTAACTAATACTCTTGACCATAGGACTTTGAACATATAGAAGAAAAACGTAATTTCTAGATTACCTACATTAGAATCAGTCAAATATGCACCAAAGATCAGTTAGTGTGTTGACATTATCCCCGAGATATTACAGTGACTGTAGGCAACCACTCCAATAATAGAGAGTAAAAATTTTAGGTAGCACCTTTGTCGAGTATCCTTATCATAGAAGAGATATAGATATAACACTGGTCTGCGCAACCTGTGTTGGACTGCTTCATATGAGATCGTTAGAAAATCCAGTCTACATTGTAATTATACACAGTGCACTGATAAACCTGGCCTTAATGTTTGTTTGTCTCTCTATTAATGCTGTGTAGAACATTATTACAAAGAAACTAAATTACCTACTACCCTTCCATGGAGAAAACCATGCATGTCACAGGAGAACAATAAACAGTCACCTGTAGGTGAGGAGGTCCAATGGGTGGTGGCATGCCTCCTGGTGGCGGGATGGGTGGCATGTTGGGATCAAAGGGTGGACGTGCAAATGGTGGTCGTGGCGGGGGTCCCCTCATCATCCCAAAAGGAGGTGGTGGTGGCCTAAGTAGTGGGGGTGGACCTCGTAACACTGGGGTCTGTGCAGGCGCAGGTGCAGGGGCAGGAGCAGGGGCGGGGCTGCGGAACCGCACTGCCTGCTGCGCCATTCTAGACCAGCAAATAATACATAAATAATACAGTCACACTGGAGGCTTCTCTTTCAGCTGCCATTCTTAACAAATTTAAAAATCATTCTGGGAGAAATTCATCTTAGAATTTAATATACAGTGTTAGTTAAAGCACCAAAACTGACCTTTACTTTATTTTTTTTTTTTAAACTGGGGGAAAATATCACAACAATCAAAATATATTAACAACTTTTATGCATTGCAAGTCAAGCAAAACATCATCTGATACTTGATTAATAATCCTGGCAAACTCTAATGAGGAATTAAAACTCCAATGGCACTTGCTGTGTAAAGAACAACTTTATTGTTAAACCAACATCAGGGACCCTGATGTATAGAAGGTGCAAGTGTAAAATTGAGACATCTTGTAAAAAAATGTAATGTAATGTAAAAAAAAAAAAAAAAACTGCCTCTAGCTGGAAGATAGAATGTGTTGGTTCATTAAAGTCTACACAGCAAGAGCTACTAGAGCTTTTAATTCCACAAGAGTGATTTCAATCCTCTGTGTACCTTAACAGTGGGTGAAGTCTTAGCAGAAATCGTTACTCCTGACTGTAATGAAGGCAAACGTTTAGATTAGATAAGATTATTTTTGTTAGTGTTTTGCCCTCATTTAGCATTTATGCTAAATAATATGGCTCTGTTGGTTAATAAAAAGTACTGTGCTAATGTTTCAGACACTATAGTAAGTTCCTTTTCAAAGATAAGAGATCAAAAAGCACAGAGTGCAGTAAATATTTGGTGTGAAAACTACGCCAGTTCCCCTTGGTACTCGGCAGGTAGGATACTCCTGGAGAACCTGCCAGTGTTGTTTTCTGAATTTGTGTAATCCCAAACTGATTCCAGCTACTCAGTCAGTAAATCCAGTCTGTTACAAACTAGGCGGACAGAAAGCCAGCCCATTCGAAAGTGAATGGCTGAAGTTGTGCCCCTGCCGGTTAATGAATGTGGCATGGAATGGCTTAGCTAGCTGGTTAATATGCAGTAAAATCTGTGCACAGAATGCACCCTGAAAGGGGGAGCTGTGTCTGACCACAGACCCAGGACCTGGTGAGCTAGGCATCCCTGTGAAAGTGGAAAACATCTGATTTGGTTGTCTGTGTTTACCGCGTGCCACAAGCAAGGAGCAGAAGCGAGCCGATTGGCAAAACAAGCTAGTTAGCTAGAAGCTAGTTAGCTAGCGTGGCTACATTCCAAGTAAAATCAGTCTATCACGACCTCTCAACCAAAAACAATGCGGACCGACTCTTTACAAAATCTCGGCTTGTGCTTAATAGTACACTGAGGTGAAACAAATTCATAACACTTTTTTTGGTATTCTCTGACCTGTTATCGCTGAACCCGATAGTCTCGCTCTCTGCCTGGTCCGCCATTACAGGAAAATGCAACCACTCTCTTCCCGGAAACGCCCCCGAAGCGATTTCTACTTTTCTTATTCGCCAAAATTTGCCGTCAATCACAGCACAGCCAGAAATGTGTGGAATATAACTGGGTGATGATTTTGTCACTGTGGGTTAGCCAAGCATTCATTGGTCCGCTTGGGGCCTATTTTTCGTAATGTCTTTGTTCGGTCAGTATGTAGGGTGTTTCATTGAACAAGATGGTCTTGTCACTACCACTTTTTGCATACCCATTTAGCTGTTGCGACTATTGTCTGTGTTTCCTGCGGTGGCAGTGGTGGAAAAAGAACGTAAGTCCTAAAAATAGGAATAGTCTACCCACTGGTGGAAATCTATGTACATTTACTCAAATGTTGTACTGAGGTAGGGCACTTGTATTTAAGTATTTTCTTTCCAATTCCTAAGTATTTTTTTCCAATTAGTCCAATACATTTATCTGACAGGACTAGTTCATTTATAAAAACACACTGGAGATAAAAGGCCCAAGCAGGCAAGTCAAAATACTAAGAACATGAGAGTCATAAGATGTAAAAAAAAAAAAAAAAAAAAAATTCAGCTTTAATTACAGCTGATCATCATGTATCATAATGTTTTTTGCAAACATAATATGTAGTATGTCTAGCCAAAAGATATAATTTGGTTCAGCTGTTACTTGCATTAGGGCATGAACAATACAAATTATGCAAGCCAAACAAAAACAGATCATTTTATTTAAAAAAACAAAAACAAATGTAGATTATTGCTGCCAGTGTTGCCTTGTGTGAACTGAATGTCTTCTAGAGCAGCAAAACTTAAACATCTTCCTCACTAGTACACGCTACTTTGTTGATGGTGACAATATCAGGCTGTTCTTAGGCTCTCTCATGTTGTCTCAACCCATTACACGTAAGGTCTGAGGTAATTCCTTATTTCCTCAGCTGAGCTGCTGGCATAAACACGCAGCATGTAAATTAGAAGATGCTCCAAGGAAAACATCAAAACATATGTTACCAAACTTTGAATTCGTACTCCATCTTAAAGTATAAAAGGTACAAGTGTAAAATTGAGACATCTTGTAATGTAAAAATAAAACTGCCTCTAGCAATAAAACACTTGTGTATAAAACCAAATCGATTTGTTCTTGTTGCTGCTGAAAATGAATCTAAAGGAAAAATGTTAAAAGATTGTGAATGTCTGCATGGCATGTTAACTATAAGTTATCAGCTGTCAGAATCAATTCATTACATGGGCTGTGGAAAGTGCACTGTGGAAAACAAAACCAGCTCTTTATATGTTGTGTAGCTGAAATACTGCATTAAAAATATCTAACCTTGAACAGTGGCTCTGCATGCTGGAGTGGAGACCCACAGAATAATACGGGTAAAAAGATGGATAAGGATCGTATCTCACTGTGTAGGGCATCATGGGACACAGGTACATAGGACCCACAAACATGGACTGATTTGGAGGTTGTGAGACAAAAGAGGGAACACCCATGTCCAGTCCTGCTCTCTGTTCTGAGGACAAATATTTTCTGCATTTTTTCTTCAGAGGGTTAAACGTATAATCTGGCATGGCATAGAGAGGAAACAGAAGTCAAAATCTTGCATATGTTAGAATAAATTTAGGCTGATATTACTATACATCTGCACACAAGATACTGCAGTAACCTTGCAGTAATGTTCATTATCCTCAAGTCAATATCAGCTGCTGCCACACAATATTGTAAACATCCATACCTGGGAACTGCTCCTGATGCATGTCTTTCAGTTTTTGAGCCACTTCATAGTAGGGCCTCTTCTGTTCCTCACTCAGCCTGGACCACACAAAGCCCAGCTGAACATTGGTGCCTGCATTGCTGGCAAAGCAGCAGGGTTTGGTCAAGGCATTTCGGTGGATGTAAGCCCAAACGAAAAAGGCATTCATCGGCCGTTTAATACGTCCGTTCTTGTCTCGGAAAGACTGCATCTGCTTCAGATCTGAAGGAGACATTATGGGACTGATTGGTTGATTTGAAAATTGAGTCAAAAGTAGTAAGTCCAAATTGTGAATATCATTTCATGTTGACTTATATCACAATTTCATAAATTTCATCATAACATTGACCAGAAAAAACAAAGTTTGACTTACAATCTTGTATCATTTCAATTTTATGCTGTATAGCCCAATACTACAAATGAGAAATTAGCTTCAAGAGGTTTGCAGAAAACACCTTCTGTCCCTAGAGCTCATAATATTAGCTTTAATAAATCAGAAATGTGACTTTACTGTCTATGTGTTGAATTTTTAGACAGAATTTCTACTTTGTATATTACAATTTGGTAATGTTTCATAATTCTTAATTAATAATTTGTGATTTAAGTACAAAAAGTACTCATTATGCAGAATAGTACATATATATACATATTATATTACTGGAATATAATTATTGATGCATTATTGTGTAGGCTACATTACAGTTAAAACGTGCCTATATTTTGAAGTAGGCCTACTGCTGGGTACCTTGTTAATTCCCCACCAGGGCTCAATAAAGTATTGAGTACTATACCTTCCTCTGTTGGCGGGATGGTAAAACTGGTAAGTGCACTAAGTGTGGGCGAGGTTGCGGAGAGCTGGATTACAGGGGGTTTCAGGGGTTGTCCATCATCACCGGCCTGTGGCACATCCAGCCGCTGGGTGACCCGAGTGTGAACAGGTAGAGGCCGCTTCATTGCACCGACCTGGGAACCTGCTGCTGCTGGACCGGAGGAACCTGAAGGGGCCATCTGTGACCTGACCTCTCCTTCACTGTGAATCCAAAGTGGTAGTTTGTCTATAAATGTCGTCGGGTGTGGTGATTGTCCAGACTGCTCCCCTGCACGAACTGAGGCCAAGTATGTAGTGTTATCCCGAGTCTTGGACACACTTCCGACCCCTTCTCGAGCGCGGTCTTCGTCAGACATCGCCGGGTCCTCCAGTAGACAGACCTCACTTATCTACTTGAACAGTTGCTCTTTTAATTTTTGTGGAGCCTCTCAATTGTCATGGTTCGCAAGAGGACGGGAGTTTTTGCTCTAGCCTGTTTTAACTGGATTGTGATAAATTAAAGACCGTTAGTTGCCCTAACAACAAAAACACGTTTGAACTAGCGTTACACTTCAATGGTCACTTCCGGATAGCTATTAGCATTAAGATACGGCTAGGCGAAAAAGATTAGCTAAATCGACTAATTAGAACATTTAGAAAAATTAAACATTATGTAAAAAAAAGCTTATATTGACTTAGATTTAATGTTGTAATATTATGCTTTAACAGTGCATAAAACTAGGTAGCAAGCAGGCAAAGCACGCTTTTTTCAGTGACTTTGATAAACAAAAATAACGCTCTGATGGTGTATATAATTAATTTCCTTTATTGCTGGTTAGTAAAAAAAAAAATACCTAAAAACATCAGAATCTGCCTATAAATTATCCCCCAAATACTAGTTTTTACTTAGAAAAAGTAAATTCACCAAAGGTTGCAAAAACCATGACATGACCTCAGTGCCCTCAATGGCCCTGTTCAGGATCAGGTTTAAACCAAGCATCAGTAAGACCATGAGTACTAAAACCTACACTTTTTTGCCTGTATTTATTATTTAAGTGGGCCACAGAGAGGTGTACAGGAGCCAGGGGAGAGGACCTGTGATAAAGGTTGGCAGGTGCACTCAAACTGCCAAAGTTGTGCAGACTGTGCCTGGGTATATGGTGCACTGCACCGTAACCATTCAGCTATCAGGGTGCCCTGCAAAGCCTACACTTAGACAAAAAGAGGAAACAGAATCTTTAATGTTATAATTTAATCCAGTGTTAAATGAAGTACAGAAAATAGAGTATAGTCAAATTAAACAAGCTGTACTAAAAAAAAAAAACTAAAAAAAAACATGACTTCTGTTAACTAAAAGTTATCAGTGGCTTTCCCATATGAACATAACCTTTTAAGTAAACTAATAAAATATTAAACTAATAGCTATGGAATCATCCTTCTTAGAGTAACAAAATAAAGATTTGGTCATTTAGAGTGCAGTGCCCCAGAAAATGACAAAAGGCTCTGCTCAGCTGTGTTTGCACATCAGACAGAGAAACTATACCCACACACAGAGTCGCATACATTCATTCACTCATGTCTCACACATAACACTTCACTCGAGATTCAAAAACCCTTCGGATCGGTCTCAGCTAGCCATAGAAATCATTTATTAAAACTGAAAAAATCCAATTCATTTATTTAATCCATGTCAAATGTAGGGGTGGTTATTTTCTAGTACATAGCTTGTGAGACCCAGATATGCAAGAGACTAAAAAGTGATGAAAAATGTTTGCAAAGCAGTGCTTTCTTAATGTCCGGTGTCCTACATGAGCATGTTTGCAGTGACACACTGGCAGGGGACATAAAGAGAAACTATCAGTTAATAGTGGTTTGAATAAAATACATGCTCACCCTTTCATCACGCATTAATCAGGCAGAGGTATCCAACATGAAAAGTAGAGGACAAGTATCAAATTGTAACAGAAAGTGGTTTGTATGATATAAAGAGCCCAACGGTATTTTAGTGACAGTTCAAGGCTTCGCTCATACATCTGTTGTGAACTGCTACAAGTCTGATACAAATAGGGTAGGGGAGACAAAAAGAAAAAGGATGTAATATGCAGTTCATCCACCCTAACACAGCTCAAGTGCACCATTCAAGTGTCATCTCACTGCATATCCTGCCCTCTGCTGGAGGACCAGAGTATGGATTCCTCATACTAAAGATACTGTAACACTGTTTGCACAAGGAGCAAGAGAAGGTGACCCTTGGCAATAATGCAATGGCTTAAATTTTGTGACTGAATTTGGTTGACATTATATAAAACACGACATCTCAGGCTACAATGCAAAATTAAGGCAACAATGCCATTTTCATCTGAGTCAACCCTAATTCTCCGTGCTGTTACAGAAAAAAACATTTTGCAGTGATTTTTTTTGTATTGAAGGGGAATATACAGCAGTTCATATATAAAACAGGTAAAGATGAAAATTCTTTCCCCACAGGAAGGTAATGACTACAAGCTGTGGACTGACAACTCCCCTGCTCTTCCGGTGTCCTCTGTGTGACATCCATACAGTACATACTCACACAACACCAGTGGGTGAGGGACACCAGTGGCCGCGCTCCCTGATTTCCAAGATCGTGTCAAAAGACTGGGATGGTGAGCGATCGTTGGTGCCACCTCGTCAAATAGAGCAGGAGCAGAGAGAGAAACATGCAAAGTTGTCTTCAAGTACAGCAGTCCTTCAGTGGTTCAGCACACACACACAGGCACACACACACACATTCACTTCTTTATTTCCCAAGATTGCCAAAGTTAGCAAAGGCATCTTGTTTGGGTGGAACCACAGCTGGGCTGATGGAATGGGGTAGGCCCATCCCAACTCCTGGCACTCCCATGCCAGGCATACCACCCATCATCATTGGAGCGGTCATGCCCATATTTATGCTCATGTTCATTCCCATCATGCCTTGGTTTACAGGAATTCCCCCCATCCCCATGGCGCCCGTGGTCATTGAAGGTGGCATAGTGGCTGCCAAAGAAGCAGGCGTGCCAGTTGCCATTGATGGAGGCATGCCCATGTTCATGGCACTGCCTGCCATCATAGGATTGGCTGGTGGTCTGATTGGTCCCACATGAGGCGGGGAGCTGAGGTTCAGTCCTCCGAAGTTCTGGGCCAACAGGTTGACAGGAGGCACTCCTGCACAGACACAAATGAACAGGGAGGAATAAATCCACTCTGTTTTACCACTTGGGCTATGAAGCCTTGTAATGTGAAAGACGCCAGTGAAGAGCAGGAGCAATAATACAGTGTGTATGGCCTAGAATTACTTATCACGTGCATGAATCACAGCTTTGCAAGTACTTCCCATCCTAATATCATAAGCAGCTGAAAATAGATGAATGGATGTGCAATTAAAAAAAACAACTCATTAATATAATTACCTTACAAAGTACTGAGTATTTTTCAAACAGATTTTGCTACAATAACAGCCATAAACCTTTTCTAACTAACATTTCTGCCTGAAAACCTTTTAAACACATCTAAAGTGAATTCCTGTGTAGAACATGATACCTTGTTGTTGGATGATATTGTTGAGCGTGGGTGACGTCTTAGTGGTGTTGAGGCCTGCTGACAGGAAGTCCAAGCTAATGTTGACAGAGGGGTCAGACCACGTTGACCCCAACGATCCCTGACCTCCGACGCCAACTTTATGCTGTTGACCTATCAGCTGCGGAGATGTCGTGCCTCCCAAGCTCTGAAATAAATTACATACATTAAGAATGGTGTTACACAAATCTTACACATTTAATATAAAGATGAGAGATTAAACAAAATAGGAGCAAGAAAATGAGAACAGTTTCTGACATGCAGGGAAAAAAAAAAATCAGCATTTACTGTATCTACCTGTTGAGAGCGGGAAAGGGGCATCGTGGGCATGGCAACAGATGCTCCTGGCGCTGGCCCCCCCAGAGAGAAAGTCATGCTCTGAGAGGCACTCAGTGTTGTATGTGGATGAGTCAGCTGATGGTTAACTCCACTCATCAGGTCAAACAGCTCAGCAGAGGGTGGGATGGGGGCAGGATTAGAAGCTGAGGCTGGGGGTGACTGGACGCTGCCAAACAGGTCAGCGAGGGGCTGGGGGGGAACAGAGCTAGACGAAGCAGATGGCTGGGCTGAGAAAGTGCTCCAGTCTCCAAATTCTCCATTTCCATTTGCTGATGCAGCAGCTGGCCACAAGAGAGCAGTGTTAATGTTAAGTTGTGATTGTAAAATCACAGACTTTGACAGGATCTACCTTGCTCCTTCACTGAGAATGCAATTCAAGTGATCAAACTGTGCAGCCTGGTTTATGTGGGTAGTAAATAGCTACACTATCTTACTAAGGGTCCTAAGCATCACGGGTTAAACAATTTTCTTGCTCTATCACACAACATATCCTGCAAATTTGTGAAGTTTAACATTTTTTTCTATGACACCAGTAAAGATACACAACAAAAGCTTTAAATTGTTACATAGATGCTGGTGATGCACTGATGATGCACAATGACAATCATCAAACCTGTCCCATGAGTGAGTTACCCGTCAGTCTTTAGAGCTTCATGTTTAGTCCTTTTGGTTTGTAAAAAGCCAGTGTAATCGTGAGCTGGGCCAGAACATTAAACTGCATTTATAAAAATGTATGATGTTTTTACACTTGGTCCAGACCAAAACGAGTCAAAATACAGTTGTAAAAACACCCTACGATTACAGTAGGACAAGCTGAGATAGAGAAGTTTACCAGTGGAGGCTGGGAGGCTGGCAGAGGCCGCAGGAGAGGAGAAGTCAGCAAAGCCACCAATGAGGTCTGAGCTACCACCTGGATGGAGGGACACACACACATATTCATGCAAAAAAAAAAAGCAGAGGACTAAGAACTCTTTTGTCCAGCAAAGAACAATATAACTTGTGCACCACAGACAGGTTTTAAAACCATCTTCAATGCCTTCATTTCTTTCACTTCATCTGTGTGTGAGCAGCAGTTTGTCATCACCTGTTGTAGCACTTTGATTGGATGAGGGGTCGATCACTAACAGGTCAGCTAGACCGCTACTAGAAGACTGCTTGACTGATGACTAAGAAGAGAAGTAGAGAGATGCTTGAATTAAACAGTGCTGCTGGAAACCTGTTTCAAATTTGCAAGCCCTTGCATGTTTAACTACCTTCTCCTCTGGGCTCTTGTCTCCAGTGTAGTGGGCCGCAGCACCCAGGTCCAGAGTCTTGCTGCTTGTTGTTCCACTGCGTTTCCGTGTGGTGGTGGTGGTTGTGGTTTCTGTCGCCTGTGTGATCTGAATGCTCTTTGTTGTCACAGTTTCCTCCTCATCTTTGAACTCCACAGTTTCCTGCCTACCATTTCTTGCTGCTCGGTCATCCTCGTTGTCACTATGGCAACCAGACAAAGGAAGTATGAGAAACAGCACTCGGGAGATTTAGCTATTGAAAGTTTTGTTACTTTGCAGTTATTGTATGTCTCTGTACATCATTGTTTGGTAATGTACAATCCAACACATAGAGGTTCAAGATTTTACACACATGGCAGAGAGACCAAGAACCAGCTGAGGTGCAGTCAGAGGGTGGCTTTGCATTATTTTATTTTTGTTCATTCTGGCTTTTATAAAGTCAGCCATTACTAAGGAAGACAATTAGCCTTTGGGATTACAACAACTTTGGTATATCCTGAGACCATTCCAAAACAAGCATCTTTTCAGGCGTGCACATGTGGACGTTGTCCATGTGTACGTTCACCTGATTCTGTCAGGTGAGTCGTCTCGTTCCTTCTTCCTGAACTTGTTGAGTGTGTCGTCGATGGTGCTGCCTATCTTGTCGCTGATCTCTCCGAGCTTCTCACTAAAGGGGAACGCTCCTCTATTCTTATCCCAGTCCTCATCCCACTTGCTCCGATCCAACTCATTAGCTAGAAGCCAAAAAGAAAGAGAGAGATACTTTGGTAGTACAATCCTCCTCAATTTTGTCTAACAGTTGCATGACAACAAATATAAGACACAAAAAAACAACAATAAGATCAGAGCTTCTGCAAATTATTATTGTAATATTTTTTTCAATGTAGTTTAAAAGGTCTTGTTCTTTCATCCAATTAACAGTCCAAAATCCAAAAATATTCAAGTTACAATGATAAATAGGAAATCCTCATGTTGTAGAAGTTGGAATAGGCAAGTGGTTTGCATTTTAGACTAATAAATTATTAAAAATAATTACATATTCATTTCCTGTTGACCAATTAATCCAATGGTATCAGCAGACATTAATTAGCCAATGAGTAAATCAATATTTCAAATTGTAGTACATATTATTCAAGTTTAAATTTTAATACCTAATCAAGGGTCACACCTTTGCTTTAACAAAGTAGTCTTCCTCCAAAACATTTTAGGGGAATATATCATTATTTTAATGCACATCTGAGTCCAGCTGTCAAAGGGGGCGTAGTGAATTACTTACAGTTCTTCAAGCTGCCACCTCCTCCTCCTCCTCCTCCTCCTCCTCCTCCCATACTGTCAGATGAGACTCCAATGTATTTATCTTTGTTTTTCTTGGCTTTCTTCCTTTCCTCTCTCAATCTGTCGTCATCCTGGATAAACTCCACCATTTCTTTCACCTTCTGACGTACATTGATGCCCTGATCCTTACCATTCTCATCTGGACAGACACAAGCACACACACACACACACACAAAGACTGAACTACTGACAAGACGGCTTAGACAGTCTGTTGTGGATCATAATTTTGATGACACCCTGCCAACTTACCCTAGTCAATGGCACGTTGTCTTGAAAACTGTCATATTTTCCATGAAATATGCTGAGATATTCATGTTCCCCAGAGGATCAGCACTTAGGTTTTTTTGGTTACCCTGACCTTTCCTCTAGACCTACTGTTGGGTCAAAAGTTCTACTTGTACACAAAAACATCAAAATCAATTGGGCACACTGGCATGACACTGTACTGAACATACTGTATTCACGCCCCTCAGAGAATGAAACCACTCTATTTTGAACACTCAAGGTCAGATTAACTAAGAAAATGTGCTCTGTGATCTCTTCCCACTTAAACGTGCACTGCAGGTCCAGCAGCTCAGAGCAGAGCAGATGGAGGTGGAGATGGAGCAGTATGGTAAATGCAGCCAAATGTGCAAGTAAATGCCTTTACATAAAAGGCAAACATACAGTAGCATGTTTAATAAAAACTCCCCATTCACTTTTTGTTTGTGTTACAGTAATGAGATATTGGAATCATTCACAGATTGTAATAATTGGCTTTCACTAACCATTGCAAACTGTATGACCTTAGTAAATCCAACAGAATACATAATCATCCTCTTAACATGTCTCCTCCTCCTTCCTCTAAATGATTATCCAATGAGCAGAGAGCTGCACCTTACAAATACAGATGTTTTGGTAAATCTGGCACTCAGTGAACTTCAAGCTAGCATCTAATTTGCTCACAAACTATCACAAAGTCATTAAAGAAGAAAAAGTTGCACCACTAAGGAAGAAGCTAATATTCATTTAGAGACTCACCAATGAAGTGGTAGTTTTCTAGAGATCGCAGGTCGTAGATGTGCTCCCTGGCACTGGTGACGACTCTTTCAGATCCATTCCTGATCAGATAGGCCAGCAGCAGTAAAGCCTGGCAGACAGAGACAGAGATACAGGGAGGGACAGTAAGAGATGGTGTTATAGACATGACAAGGGGACATAGTCGGCAAGAAAATAATGTTCAACTTTACTCAGTGGTTCAAATAATTTTTTTTCTTCCAAAGGTCTCTCTTTCCCAAGTCACAATTCCTCTCCTAAACTCAACCTAATTACTTTGTAATTACTGAAGAAAACTCACTCTTCCTTGGCTTTTGCAAAAATTATAATGTTTCCCTACCAGTCATATGATTGCACAGGCAGGACACAAGAATGTACAGTAGCAAGAAGAAGAAAGTGAAACCTTTGGAGTTTGTATGTATTTTTATGCAAGTTTAAATTATGGTCAGAACTTCATCTACAGTTATGAACAAACAAACACAAATCTTTATATTGTTCAAATAATTAAAAAGCACAAAGTATCTTGATCCAGTCAGCTGTTTAAACACTGCAACTGTGCACTGTGAGCATCTGACTGCATGCACAGCTTTAATGAAAACCCTGACAAACCAATACAGAACTGAGCTGCACAGCACAACACAGGAACACCTGGCAAACAATCAACCAGAGTGTAACAACACCTTGTAAACTCGTCTCCAATTCTTCTTGTTGTCCTTCAGCATCCGGGTCCACAGCATGTTCATTACCTCAGGGAACTGCTCATACATAAAGGTAGATCTACACACGCAAACACATATGCACAATCAAAAATATTATAGTGGTGGGAAAACCCATGCAGGTAAACCAAAGCAGAATCAGGTCGAATGAATGGAGCCTGTGGAGAATTAGCTTTACTTGTCTTTTTATCAGGCTTCTTATTTTGCCTTAACAAAACACCCTGCTAGCTTGGTGACATGTATGCATTTATGTGCATATAAAACAACTGTGTGTGTGTGTGTGTGTGTGTGTGTGTGTGTGTGTGTGTACACAACATACCTGGCTATTTCTCCCATCAGCTGTCCAGAGGGTCCCCAGGGGTCATCATTGGTGGCCTCTCTCACCTTGGACTCGATCTCTGAGTAGTTCATCACCACATTGGTGCTGTTGACACAAACATATTTTCTTCAGAGATTACACCAGTAAACTGTTACTATTACCATAAATATTTCAGACATGTAAAGGTCAAACCGTGTATTTTTCCACACACAAACATAATTACAGTTGAACACAAAAGTACATGCAAATACAATAAAGGGAACTCTTAACTCAACATCTCTGACTTCCATGCATACACACACCACAAGCTCAACCTGAGAATAACTGTGGAAGACATGATTATCACAACAAGGAGTCATATTCAAGCATGTGTCACACATGACAACACACTCATATGGAGTAAGAAAAGAGTGAGAGAAATTAAATGTTTTTCTGATCACAAAGAGACACTCAACTCACTAAATAATGAATGATGGCTTTCTAAATGTGTATGTGCTGCATCTTGTAATGGGCATGGCCTGCTCTCCAGACCCCTGGGAAAAAGCACAGCCAAAGCGCTGCATTTTGAAAGACACCTCTTTGCAACAAACTCCAGTCATTCTTCAGCCGTTTTCTATCCTGCTTCATTTCCTACTCTTTGCTTCACGCGGTCTTCAACCCTCCTATTCTTTTTTTCTTAAGCTGTTTCTCTTCTTTCCTACCTTTTCTATTTGTCTCCCTGTCCTCTGTGCTCTGCCATCCTCTTAGCTAAAGGAAAACACAGAGCATCTGTGCAGTGCAATAAATGCCATTGACTGTGGTATTGTGAAGAGATAACACAAAAACACACAGCAAGAGCTTCTTAATAGGGCGACTCAATCTGCAGGAAAAGCAAGGCTGCCACTGCCAGAGGTAGATCAATAACAGAGAGTATTCATCATGCCCAGCCAGGCACAACCAATAGCTGATGGGAGCTGATATCTATTACCACATCTAAAGCTCTGTTGTGGTCTTCTCTTTGCTACTTCTTTATATTCACTCTTAATATCTCTTTTCTTTATTTGGTCTCTTCACTCATCTTTCCTTGATGCAGCTGTCTTTTGTCTACTTCCACATTTTCCCCTTATCACAATTGTGAGATAAGTGGTTTTTTAGAAGACAGTGCAAAGCAGAAAATACAGTGTATGTTTACTTAAACAGCTGTAGAGAAGCGTTGACTCAGCTGTAAGGTCATTTTGGAGATGTATAAACACTGAACATTGTCTCCTTCATACAGGGAGGATTTATTACAGCACTACTGTATTAGACTGCATTAGTTTTAGTTTGGTGTATCTAAGAAATTGGCAGCTGAGTCTATATTGCTACTATGATCATACACACGGCAAAAATATATGTAGCAATTTATCAATCAATTACGGCAAAGTGCTGAATAAATGAATCGTCTCTTCCAGGATGATAGCGGCCCCATCAATAGTGCATGAGGGATCAATGAATGGTCTGATGAGTATGTCATATGCTATGATCTTCACAATCACCTGATCTCAACCCTTCTGAACACCTACGGTAGATTAGGGAGTAATGTGTTACATGGCGTTTCCACAACCATCATCAATACACCACATGAGGGAATATCTTTTGGAAGAATGGTGTCCATCCCTCCAGTAGAGTTCAGAGACTTGTACAATCAATGTCAAGGTGAACTGAAGCTGTTCCTGTGGCACGTGGCTTACTGAGTCACTTTATGTTGGGTTTTCCTTTGCCCTCCGTCTATATCAAAGGACTGAATCGTGTATAACAAAAAATAAATAATACAAACTACTTTATTAACAGCTTAGGTGTTACTTGAAGGATTTTTTGTAACTCTATATAATGAACAGTCTTATTATAAGGGCACTGTTGTTGTAAAACAGGGCTGTCCTTTAATATCAGTCAAGATAGTGACTCTAATGTGTATATGTCCACCATCACTGTATGAGGACTGTGGACACTAGTCTGAAACGAACATCAGTCAACTTATTAGACTGGTTTTCACTTCTCTTGTGCTTTTAATATAATTGCGTTGTTGTTACTCTATAAGTCACATAATGACAGTTTTCTTTGTAAAGCTACTTAAAAGCATTTATTATGTTTATCTACCACAGGTGATATCATTAGCAAAAAAGGTTGTTTACATTTCTTTTTAATGCATGATTCTCAAAGCAGGTTTACTTAGTTATCTCGTCATACTCTGCTGAGTAAAACCAGGAATGAGTCTTGTCTCATCAGTGCATTTTCCATATTTGACTGAGTTATTGATAAAGTTATTAATAAAACTGTAATCTGCCTCTTGGAGCAGACAACATAGCTGCTGTTCTTCCTGGATCACAGTAAATGACCACATACAGTACACTGCACATTATACTTGACAGTTTGAATATCATAAAGCATGCAGTCTTTGATCAGACACAGCACGTAGCAGGCTGCATCACCAACAACCCCTTGGGGGCATGGGCCGACCTGGTCTACCCCCACTGTGGGGTATGGTTGGTAGCTAACTGGCAGTAAATTTACTGTTAACTAGCAGTTATCTGGTTACTAAAATATATTATAACGTATTGTTAGTTTTCCGGTCAAGATATAATGTTAGGTGAAAGCATTGTGGAAGTAGGGGTTTCACCAGGATGGGACAGGGCGTGATTCCGCAGCAGCACCAACAGATAATAGTAACGTTACACAGATAGCGGTAGACCGGGGCTTAGCAATACTAGCGGAATTAGCTAACAGGAGTGCTTTCGTTCTGGGTTGGAAACAAATGAATTTACAGTTTGCAATATTGTGATATGATTGGTCCATACGAACAAATGTGGAAATTAGTACAATGGGAGACGCGCTGTAAAACACCCATTTCTATTTTTTGAAGACTGGCAGCTAACCAGCTAGTCAAAGCTAACAGCTGAGGGCTATCGTCGTGACGTCACGGTCCGTATCCTCTCCTCTATCAGAGAAGCGGCTGATGCTGGCCGGACCAAAACCCCCGCCGCGCCCCGAGCAGCCACTTAGCAGTGTAGCTTGTGCAAACAGTACACCTGACCCGTTGTACTCACGCTTTGTCCACCAGCTCCCTGACTTTCCACATGTTCAGCATCTCCGCACGGAACTGCGGGCTCGACGCCTCGATACTGCGTCGTACCCGTTTCTCTGCACCTCACAAAACAGAGGTGGTATCCGGTTACCGGCGAAAATCCCCCCAGCTCCTCGATGAGCTCCGGTAATGCAGCGACTGCTACGGTTAACGGATCGGCCCCAGTTGCTACGGAAACGTAGGTCTCCGTCTACGTCACTAAAACGTCGATATGTGCCCTCGCGCACGACTGAATTATGCTTTTATACTTATGGCAATCCGTTTTAAAATTTAATCTAACCACATTCCTAGCTGTCATTATATTTATTTATTCATATATACATACTTGTATTCTCACTAGTCAGAATGGCAAAATATCCACAACAACATTACTGGTAGAAACTGTAAACTATAACTTTGCCTGGTATTTTTCTGTTTTGTTTTTGCACCAGTAAAGGACACTATGGCTCAGCTGACTGTCAAGCATGCACATGATGGAGCAGACTGGGTAACTGCTAGACAAAATACATACACTACATTATAAGGTGACATCTATTATTTTTATTCATTTTCAACAATATACAACAATTACAAATCCTTACTTCAGAATAAACAACTTTCAAATTCCTGAATGAATGGTCAACACCAAAATAATTTATTAAGAAAATAAACATACATCTTCAAAAATATAGTCAGTATGATTCATGAACACTGACTGAACTGTCAGCAAGTGAAAGATTTATCTAAAGACATTCACATTTGTGGTGAATTCATAACAACTTACAGACATATTGTAACGCGTTCAAGTACGAGGTGAGAGGATGCATCAAAATTCTGTGTAACCATGGACCATCACTGTGGAGTAAACACTGGAGAGTGAGAAGCAGCAAACTTCCCTGAGCAGGTAGTCCACATACATAAGAGCTGAGATTTAAAAACCAAACCACTTGATGAGTCCGTATTTGAAACACTCCACACATGTACAAATATGAATATCTTACAAACAATTCCAAAATAGACACGGGACACTTCAAAAACTTTCCTGTGAGGTGCAATTACCACTGAACTGGAAGTTTGTGTTTAAGGTGCATCCATATTGTGGAACGGCAGAGCTGAGTTTGCCATACTTTCCTCTTTTGCTCACCTGGGGCGTTGAATTTCTGCTTCTTTCCAACTCTGAGGGGGAAAAAAAAGACAATGTTCACTGATGACTGGTAATATCAATGCTGAAAGAGGAAATCTAGAGGATTTATGACTGTAAATCACACACCAGCACCACATCCTCCAGCTATGGTCTTTTGTTTCATCTTGACCACGTTTCATCACTTAGCAAAGCAACACTTCATTTCAGGCCTCAGGAACTCACTTCATTAATTGATAAAGGGAGTTCAGAGGTTTTGGTTTTATATTCAAATTTGATTCTATAGATCTTTTGTGATCTTGATTGCTGTAAAAATAAAAGTGAATGTACAGTACATGCACATGCTGCCAGCAGCCAGCTAAGTCGGGAATGAGACAAGTCAAAATACTCCACTTTTCTCTTTACAGTCTACCAGCAGAACCATAAGGAAGAAGATTAGGGCTACTGTAAAAACGTATATGAATTTTGACTTCAAACTCAGAATTTTGTCTTTAATTTTAAAAAATTTACATGACAGAATACTGAGAAAAAAGTCAGAACTCAAATGTTTTTTACAGTAGCACTAATTCTTCTCTGTAGAACCATTGTCTAAAAACCTTTACTGTGAACTTTGCTGATCAGTGTCTTCTTGCATGTGGGGGCATAAACACCAAGTGCAAAAACAAAGAGTCAATTTTTCCTCACTTTGACTGTTTATAGATTAAAGAACTAATCAAATAATAATAATAAAAACATTCAGAGATTCTAAATATAATCATGAGATGTAGCCCTAAAAATCAGCTTAAATCCCCTTGTACCTCTTTTACAGAATCTGGGTAATTTTCAATAAAAATTCAGTTTAAAAAAAAGACTTTCATCGATTGTTTTACCCCACCTGTGAGTAGTTGAACCGAGACACCATGGGCTGTGGTCTTGTGTAGTCAGGAGGGTTTGCGTGAGGGTCGTAGCCCAGGCGAGCCAGCATGGGGGCTATTTGAGCCATGTCGCTCATCACGTCTGAGGGAATGTTCCCCACCCACTTGGAGAGGGCGTCTGTGTTCACCGGCCTCATCACTTGGTCTGTCGAACGCTCGACTCTGCAGAGTCAAACACAAGCTCAGTTTGTGTACGTGTGTGTGTGTGTGTGCGTGCACGCGCGCGCGCAGGTGACAAATTTTTAAGTAGAAGAGAGTACGCTCAAAACAAATGCCTGTATTAGGCCACATTATACATTAAACAATGAACATGTTAATTTAAAACACTTTAAAAAAGGAATAAATAATGTTAAAGACCAAAAGCTAAATAACTGTCCTGTTAAGAGATGTTTTTCATTTGATTATGATACAGTAAATGTCAATCACAGAATAGTCAACTTTAGAATCTGTTCTTGTCAAATGTCATTCAAGGAAAGTCAGCTGAAGATACAGATCACAATATTAGACTGAGACTACGGAGTAGATCAGTCCTGTCATGATCTCTACAGGTCTGAGTAGGGTGGAGTCTGATTCCCCTGTCCCTGCACTCTGGCCCTGGTAGTGGACAAATAAAAACTATTTCTTTCATATTGATCAGTATGTTGTTGGCCTGTGACCACCAAAATCTAACCAGTTCAGCCATCCAATATTTGTGCCATATCTGAAGACCTCAAAGTGTTCTGAGATATTACATCCATGAGAATGGGCCAGATGGACATATGTTTGTATGTTTTATCTTGAATTCATATAGACATCGTGAAAAACTGTGAATCATCCAGAACACTGAAAAAACATTATGGCCATATTGCCTTGCCCTAATCCATAGTATGATTTTCAAAGATTTGCATTTAACCTGTGTGCGTGTGTGTGTGTGTGTGGTGTGTGTGTGTGTGTGTGTATCTAGTGAATAGAGAGTTTCAGTTTCTGATCTGCCTCTAAAACCTCTGCCACCCACTCAGTGGTGGCAGCCTGGGGGAATGGATTTTGAGATACTTTTGAAAAACTTAAAAGCCTTTCCAGAAAGTAAGCTTCAAGGGTAGATAACTGAAAATCTCAACATAACGGTATATTGCTCGAGCTAGGAGGTGAGCTTCGTGTTCACACATGCGTCTAATACTCACTTGGACAGAGACACACCACCATCCTTTCCAATCAGCTCCTCATGGTGCAGCACTGACGGGTCCCACTGCAGGTTGAGGAAGTGAAGCAAGTTTCTCATTTCCTCTTCTGGGTGTAGAACAAGAAGCTCGTAGTAGATGGGCAGACATCTGTCCTCCCCAGCTGCTTGGCACTGGCTGAACATAGTCTCCATTGCACTGCTCCACTTGGTCATACAGTCCCTGTAGTTGTTCAGGTCGAAGCCAGAGATGGTCACCTGTGAATGGAGAGATCAGAGGAACACAGAAGTCTGATCAGGATGCAGGAAATGGAGAAGTGGAAAATCCACACCAAAACTTATCAAGTGCCTTTTTGGCTTGTTGACTATGCTCGTCTGCTGCAGCCACAGTAAGAAAACAACCCCAGCTTACCTTACGTGATATCATAGAGTGGACAACTGCCCGTCCGTCTCGTAACATGAGCACAAATTTGGCTTTAGGGAAGATGCGTGCCAGATACGAGAGAGACTTCAGGGCAAATGGATCCTTGTTGCAAAGGTGAGGAGCAGGCTCTCCGTGGCCAACTATCACCTGCAACACATTGAAACCTGTGAATATTCCAATAAGAAAAGTCTAAGCTGAGTAATATACAACATTACTCCTTAAGAATGAGAATACCAACACTTTTCATATTCATACTGAGGTTTTTTTTACACTTTAACTGAACAAATGAGATTTAATGCATGATATGAGAAAAATATGCAATGTGCAATATCGCTGTTCTATATTGCGATGGCGCTATGGCTTGCGATAAATAATGTTGGTCAGATAAAACAATGTTATTTTAAGACTTCATGGTGGCACTTTGGTTTTTCCACATTTTACCGATTAAATGATTAATTCATTAAACAAGAAAAAAAGTACAACTGAGTCCAATAATGAAAAATATTCACCTGCAACCATAAAACTGTGTTCTGCTTAAAATGCTAAGTTACATGTCGGCAATGGCCTTAAAACGGTTTAGTGCACGGAAACACATCTCCCTGAAACTGAAACATGCCTTCAACACAGAAGTGTGTTTACAGATTAACCGCTACACACATTTCAAGCTCCATGATGCAGACTGCCTGATGCATCGACCAGCTCACCTCTAACAAGAAAGCTCGCACAGCTGAATCCAACACCTGATCGGTGACCCCAGCCTCGTCCAATCGTATCCTCTCCTTAACTGAGCGGCTCCAGGTGGCCCGCATAGCCAAGAGGCGAGGAATCACTCGTGTCTCCTCCCCACACCGCACAGCATTGTGGGCATCCAGCATGACGCGCATCAGTGTGGTGCCACTCCTAGGAAAGCCACCGATGAAGATGAGCGGCGTGTCCTCAGGGAAGTGTTCAGAGAGGGGTAAGCTCTGATTGGCTGAGCCCAGGTTGAGCTCCATCCAGCGATACCGATGACTTTTTGGAGGGCATTCTGTCCCACTCATACCCAGGTAGAGCAGGGAGGCGGAGCAGAGGAGTACACAGCCCAGGAGCAGGCTCGATCTGGTGTTCCTCATGGCTGCTGACTGTATCTCTGGGTCAGGAGGATGTAAAATAATATTCAGGGGCACATAAGGAGGCTTGTAGCTGGGATCAGATGTGAATGTATTTACTCATTAAATGTAAGTAGATGTCAGTTAGACTAGGCAGATGAGTGCGGCAAAGAGAGCTGAGATGATGCTGATGAAAGCCTGACAGAGGCCAGGAGGGTGCACTCTGGGCTGGGAAGGCTTCTTGATCCCCTGCTGCTCCTCAGCGTTGGTGCTGGAGAGCAGGATCCAGGCCTGTTGCTTCCCACAGCCAGCCATGCCTGTTATCCATTTTTCCTACAGTGCCTAAAATGTGAGAAGAAAGCGTTATACACCTCAGTAAGAAGTGCACCAGAATCCCTTTTTATCTTACTGCAGAAGGAGATGGATTTTTTTTTCCACACATGATTTCACAATAAAATCACATTTTTTTTATAGAGCCCAATATCACAAATTTGCATCGAGGGGCTTAAACCATCATACGCTGAAATGTGGGAGACTGCAAACATTAACCACTGGACCAAGAAGCCTAAGTCAGAATGACAACCTTCAGTGCAATACTTATAAATATACGTAGCTATCTGGAAACTTCCATCTAAACTGTGTGTATATACACGTACATTTTATAAGTACTTTTTTCTTTTTCTCATTGGTACATTTTTCTTTTTTTTGTTCTCTCAGCCTTTTCTTGTTTACTTGTTGCCTTACAGAAGAGCATTGTACAGACACAGTGAGAGCCGCTGTACCAGAGTCAAACTCCTCATGTGTTCAACACACCTGGCCAATAAAGCTGATTCTGATAAGTGAGCTATTATCACCAAGCAGGGTGTGATGGTGGCTGCTGCGTTATTTTCCCAATATCACTTGCACACATTTTCAGATGGGCTGAAACGCATCCAGGTTCTGTTCTCAAAGCAGCTATTTTGCATCTTTCCTCTGGGGAGCCACCAACTGTTAAGCCATTTCAATGTAGACACTCTCTCAGGCTGTGTATCTTAAGGCACAAAATACTGCTTCCTCATGGTTTTATTTCTGCTGACAGATGTTACCACATCGAAACAATAAGCAGTTTGCTTAAGATCAAATTACTATTGACCCCAAGAGACATGCTGCAACTTCCCCCTTCCTCTTCTGAAATGTGTAAACGGGTAGTTTCACCAATTTTAAACTACAGTCTACTTCCTCTTATCAGCACAAAATAAAGTTAAAGTATACAAAAGGAAATGAAGTAGCTAAACGGTGACTTCTGTAACACTAATGATTTCAATAATATTTGTAAATTCACTGCAGTGTTAGAATAACATTTACAACCACATTACAGCTCTGACGTCATACTAATCCACATCTCAAACAGCCGCTTTACTTCTTGCAGAAGAAAACTTAGAATGTGCCTCCCTTTCTCAGAGGAATTTTGGTTTCTTTCAAGTTCAGACTGGATGTGGAGGGAGTCTGACATCTGGATGCCACGTGGGGAACTCTCCTCGCCCTGTGCTGGGCTAGCCTGCCTGTAAAAGTCAGTCTGATGATCAAAGCAAAAAGAAAAAACTGCTGGAAATGAGGGCACCATGGCCTGGTTGGGATACTTCCACTGCCTTAAGCCATGCTAAATCCAGAGGTATTCACAAGCTTTACATGTAATTCTACTGCATTTCCCTCCAGAGATTAAGCCACTTGGAGTTTACAGAGAATTAGGCCAGCGGTTTAAGATGAGCCTTGCTGATCCCCCCCCCAACAGATTTAAAGGAGCAGTTTGCCCAAATTATAAAAAGCATTTCTCTCACTTGCAACTAACAATTATTTATTGAATTTGTGGTATTCAAAAACACTAAAAAGTTATTTTTCAGGCAACATCATACTAAAGATAAAGGACCAAGCTGTGACATGTTGTCATGTTTTATAAGGACTATTTCTCTGGAGGAAAGTGGTTCCAATGAAAACTGTTTAAACAGTAAGACACAATTTCTAGTTGTTGTATTTATTTTTTTTTAATTGGCAGAAACATAATTCAACTCACCCCCTTTGCATTGTAGTGGAGGCAAAACAATCTCAGACAGCTATTTGAAACCCTAAATCTACTTGGCTAGACATCACTAGAGAGAAATAAAGACTAGTGGATACACACTGTGCTAAGTGTGGCACTAACCTTAAAAAGACCAATGTGTTCCCTGATCAGGGACACTCTGAATGCAGGACATTTACTTACAACAGAGTATTTTACACTGTGCTATTGCTACTTTTACTTAAATAAAGGACCTGAGTATTTCTTCTACCAGTGTATATTTTATGGCAGCAAGTTGTCAACCAACTCAGACCCTCTTTGTTCCTCTCAGAAGGAAGCTCTGGCAGTCTGCTGAAGAAAGCATAACAAGGCACAGTCTCTGGGGGAGAGCAACATTTTCCCTGAGCTCTGGTTGATGCATTAAAGCTTTTCCGTTATTGCAACCATTTCCTTGACTCTTCTCAACTGAATTATTCCCCTCATTTATAACTGGTACATTTTTGTATAAGCTGTGCTTGTTCTCTCTATGTTGCAATTTGTTTCCCCTCAGTGCCTTGAATGTCCTAAGGAGGTAAATCCAGATGCAGCTCAGGGAGAATTGCAGTATTTTTGCCGCGTTGCACAAAATATGTAGTGAACTAGGTGCATATGGAGATATCACAACCAGGTCAGAGATATCACCGCAG